CTCTCCAAAGGAGGCAGTTGGGGGTAACAGAGGGTTATGAGATCTGGAGGCTGTCTGATGTCTGTCTGGAACCGATTGTCTTTGGGGCTGTGTAGCTGTGGTAGCTTGTATGAAACTCTGGGCCTTGTTTGCACTCCCAGGACATTTCATGTCTGAATCGGGACCCTGCCCGCGTAGTCGTCGTGGACTGCAAGAAAGAAGCTTTCCGCCTGCAGCCCTACAATGGTGTTGCCCTGCGGCCCTGGGACGGCAACTCCGATGACCGGGTCTTGTTGGACCTGTCTGCCTTCCTTAAGAGTGAGGCTGACCCCCTGAGCTCCTGGGCTCTGACCTAGGAGCCCTTGACTCTTAGGAGTAATGATAACTGCTTAATTCTGCACACACCACCCCCACCCCCCGTGTAAAATTGGGTACTTGAGGTGTGGGAGGTTCACGAGCATCTTGTCATCTTTAGGAGTTTCTGAGAACGTTTGGGATGCTCTGGGATATTTAGGGAATACTTGGGGGAATGTCCAGGGGAGCCCTTTTAGAGCGTTAAGAAATGTTCCAGGTAGCAGTGAGCAGCCCCAGTATCTGACCGTTACCCATGGGGACCCTGCTTCCCTATGGCCTTTCTGCCTGGCTGAGCCCTGCCCGCTGTGCCCGCAGCCATTGCGCTGAACCGCGTGGAGGATGTCAGGACCGTGCTGGAGCATTACGCCTTGGAGGATGACCCCCTGGAGGCTTTCAAACAGCGCCAGAGCCGGCTAGAGCAGGTGGGCCGCCCCCGATCTGCAGGGGGTGGGGGGCATAGTATCAGTTCCCAAGGCTCCCAAGAGAAGGGCCCTTGAGCAGCCTGTCTGCACTCTGGCTGCAAGAGCTTGAGCAAGGCCTTTGTCTTCCCCATGACCTGTCCTGTAGGGACAGTTTCCCTTCTTGTAATGGGGGAGGGGGTTCGATTCCATAGCCTGATCTGAGAGCAGGAGACAGGGAATGCCAAGCATGGGTCTTGGAGAGGGGTAGTTTGTGATGGTTTCCAGCAGATCTGGAGGCCCCAGTTTTGTGTGGACAGGAGATTTGGGCCAGGTCTGGGGAAAGGGCTGGTGTTCTAGAGGCTTGGGGAAGGGGTGTGGGCTGGGCAGAGGTTTAAGGAAGGTGGCCCCTTGGATGAGGGAGCCTAGGAGGCAAATACCCACCCTGGGCTGACCCTCCTCTGTCCCTCACCCCAGGAAGAACAGCAGCGCCTGGCTGAGCTCTCCAAATCAAGCAAGCAGAACCTCTTCTTTGGCTCTCTTACCAACCGCTTATGGCCTCGCTCCAAACAGCCCTGACCTCTCTGAGCCTCCTCAGACTCACTGCCTGGGTCCTGGGCCCGGGGCTCAGTGCTCCCAGACTGTGGCTTGGGCAGCCACATCCAATAAAGTCCATCCCAGATGCCACACTCCTGTGTCCCGAGAGTCTCCAGCTGGGGGCATCGGGGTGAGGTCCGGGACTCTTGGGTCATCGTCCCGATCGGCCACCGGGCACAGAGTAGGTTCTTCAGTGATCAGGATGGGTTTGAACCCTGGCCTGGGAAGCCGCAAAGCCGGGTTCCTCTGGCCGTGTCTTCCATGTGCCGTGTGACCACAAAAGTGCGTCTCACTCCTTAATTTCCACAGATTCCTCACCTGTGGAAAAGGGAAGAGAGGGCGGCACTGGGGGTCCGAGAGCCAAGTCACTGCCAGGCCACTGTTTGCACGCACCATGTGTGGGCTCGGGGGGCAGTGGGGGTGCTGCTCCCTCTGCCCACCCGTGGCCCTGCGGGAAGGTGTGCCTGGAGTTGCTTGATCTGCTCTTTCGACAGAAGCCCGAAGTTGTGATTTTCATATTAAGTCTCTTGTGAAATGCTGGCTCCTAACTGGGACAGGCAGTGTGGCGGCACCATGGAACTTTCTGTGATGTTTATTCCGTGTCCCGTGTCTGCACTGTCATGGTCGGGCAGAGCCACAGAGTACTGCAGTGTAATGAGGGTAGCCAAGGACTGGATCTTCTGTTCGTATCGTTTTAAGTAACCTTAATTTAAGCAGCCATCTGTGGCTCATGGCCCCCTGCTGGGGACAGCACAGTTGCGAGCCATTCCACAGTCCCGAGTCCCTGACTTTCCATGTTCAAATCCCAGTTTTACCACTTCCCGCCTCGTGTGGTCTCGGGCAGGTTACTTCGCCTCTTGTGCCTCAGTTTCCCCATCTGTAAAGGCAACGGTACCTAGCTCACAGGCTAGGCTGAGTGAGGCACCCCATGGAGGCCCTCAGATGGTAGCCGTGGACCTTGGGCCCAGCATCTGTGTGCCTCCGCTTCCTCAGCTCACGAGTGGGGGTGACAGTAGGACCTATCTTCGAGCAGTTGAGTCAGTCACGGGAAAGCCCGTACCCAGCGTGTGTAGACTTCTGTGGGCTGCCTTACCCAGTTCCCATTCTGGCTTCGCAGACTGAAGCATCCTGGGCCGGTTTGACAGCTCCTGTCCCCGGCTGGCCCAGCCTTTCCTCCAGCCAGCACTTAGTGCTAGGACTGGTTAAATAGTTTAAAAAGACATCCCCTGGTGTTTGCGATAATAACGAAGATATACCTCTGTGGACCGGATTGAGTCTCTGGACTCAATACATTTTTTTTTTTTTTAAAGATTTTATTTATTTATTTGACAGAGATCACAAGTAGACAGAGAGGCAGGCAGAGAGAGAGAGAGGGAAGCAGGCTCCCTGATGAGCAGAGAGCCCGATGCGGGACTCGATCCCAGGACCCTGAGATCATGACCTGAGCCGAAGGCAGCGGCTTAACCCACTGAGCCACCCAGGCGCTCCACTTGAAATGTATTCTGAAAGCACTGCGGAGCCATGCAGGAGAGGGACAGGGTCAGATTTGTGCTTAGATCCCATGGGCCAGAATGGTCTTGACTGGAGAGAGGAATCAGGGCTGTCGGGCCCAGGAGGTGCCTGGCCACCTTAGTGAATGTTAGGGAAGCACCTGCAGGAGGGGGAATCTGCTGAGAAGGGAATTCAGTAGAGGAGGGAGTATAGACGACACAAGCAGAGGGAAGACCTGTGCGAAGGAGCCTGGTCTGTCTGTGTGGTGACCATGGCCCTCCCCTGCGCAAAAGCCTTCCATGACTCCAGTCCTCAGGATTAAGAGGAAACTTTTTTTTTAAGATTTTATTTTTGGGGTGCCTGGTTGGCTCGGTTGAGCGAGGGACCTGATTTGGCCTGGGGTCACGATCCCAGGCTCCGAGCTCAGTGGGGAGTCTGCTGCTCCCTCTGCCCCTCCCTGCACTCGCCCACGCTCTAAAATAAATATATCGGGGCGCCTGGATGGCTCAGTGGGTTAAAGCCTCTGCCTTCGGCTCAGGTCATGATCTCAGGGTCCTGGCATCGAGCCCCGCATCAGGCTCTCTGCTCAGCGGGGAGCCTGCTTCCTCCTCTCTCTCTGCCTGCCTCTCTGCCTACTTGTGATCTCTGTCAGATAAATAAATAAAATCTTAAAAATAAATAAATATCAATCTTTAAAAAAAAAAAAAAAAGGAAAGATTGTATTTTTAAGTAATCTCTACACCCAGTGTGGGCTTGGACTCACAAACTCAAGATCGAGAGCTGCCGGCTCACTGCCAGAGCCTGCCAGGTGCCCCTAAGAGGAAAGTCTCTAACTGAACTCGCTCCTTGATTAAAAATTGCCAAGCGCTTGTGTGTGCCGGGTTCTGCTGGGCTGCACTTTCTTGATCATCCTGTCTTCTCCAAAAGAAAAATAAGTTTGTAAATCGAAGTTGTATTTCCCCCATAAGTATTAGGCTCTAAGTATTAAAATGTTTTCTTTGTGGGGCGAGAAAAAGGGGTTGGCGTCACCTAAGGGCTTTACTCAGCACCTGGCACAGAGAGTTTGGGACTGGAGGCTGGAGCACCTGCTCTCACCGGGCTTTCTTTGACGTGGCCCCGGGAATACTTCGGGGCTTCTGGAGGGCCCTCGGGGGGTGCCTGGTCTCCCCATTGTGAGGGAGCGGGGCGGGGGGTGGCTGATCTGTGAAGACAATTTCCTGCCCATTTGCTCCTCACACCTTCCGGAGGCCAAATGGGCGGCCCAGCTGCGGCCCAAAGGGGGAGGGGCGCGGGCGTCCGGCAGATGGCGGCATTTACATACAGCTGGAGCCCCCTCGCAGGCGGGGTCTCCCCACCCGGCGTCTGGTGCATCCCTGATGCGGGGTTTGGAAGGGTGGCTTTGTCTTCCGGAGGGCAGCACACACACCAAGCAAGCATGTACACACACACACACACACACACACAGGTCCATAAAGAACCCGGGATCTTCATCGCCCACACACATGGCTACGCCCTTGGGCTTCCCGACACCTAATCTCGTTCACACGCGGACGTTCGGTTATTCACAGCTGACACAGACCCTACCACACACGCACAGCCGCCTAGAGGTACCTGCACAGACCTCAAAGTTAGAGGCTCACGTGACTCCACACAGTGGTCCAGGATCTCACGTTCACTCTTACACACGTCCAGAGAAGCATCCACAACAGCCACACAGTCCCCAAAAGTCACACAATCATGAAGTCACGTACATCTCTATTCTCCCATGCTGGTGCACACGCATACACACACACACAACCACAGAATCAGAATTACTTACAACCTCACAAATAGTCTTAACTGTATACACTTTTAGGCACACGTGGAGGCACGCGGTCTCAGCCAGGAACACAATCACAAAGTCATGTACAGCCTCCCGCCAGCAGCTCTTGCTCACACCGCATGCACGCACAGAATCTTAAAACCCTGTATAGCCTAATACACTGGCTTAAGTCCCTAACCCCACCGCACCCTCAGTCACACGCGGAGTCAGGCCCAAAGCACACGCAAGATGGCACACTCACCGCATAGCCGGCGCCCATACAAAATCCACGGTTGCTCCCGCAAGCTCCCCTTCCCCTGCGACCTCCTCCCCTAGGGTCTCCCGGAGCCCGGCGGCTGCCTGAAGGGGCGGGGCCGTCCCCGCACATATAAGGCTCGGGAGCCCGCAGCTGCGGCTCCCAGCACCCCCGCAAAGGCCATGGTCAGCCCGCAGATGCCCCAGCTCTTGCCCCGGACAGTGATCCTGGCGCTTATTTTCCTTCCCCAGGTCAGAGCGGGAGTGGAGAGGGAGGAATGGGAAGGGGTGAGACCCAAGGGGTCTTGGGGAGGAGGCGCGGGGCGGGCGGAATGCCTGGGCTCCCACGCCTCCTCACGCTGTGCCCCTTTCCGGCCCCAGGCACGGCCGGCAGGCGTCTTCGAGCTGCAGATCCACTCTTTCGGGCCGGGACCAGGACCAGGGGCCCCGCGGTCCCCCTGCACTGGGCAGGGCCCGTGTCGCCTCTTCTTTAGGGTCTGCCTGAAGCCAGGGGTCTCCGAGGAGGCCGCCGAGTCCCCGTGCGCCCTGGGCGCGGCGCTGACTGCGCGAGGACCGGTCTACACCCAACAGCAGCCCGAAGCGCCGGCTCCTGACCTGCCGCTGCCCGACAGCTTCATGCGCGTGCCCTTTCAGGAAGCCTGGCCGGTGAGAACCCTGTGCCTGGAGGCCCTACCCAAACTTCTATGGCCTTCTGCCCTCCAAGCTCCCAGCATTGACCTCTGGGGACCCCAAATTCCCAGGCCAGTAACTATCACCTAGAATCCCACATTCTACTGTGTGGACTTCCCACAGGGCACCCCAAATTTCTGAGTCCCACTTCCCCTTTGGGGATCCCAGATGTTCTGATACCCACCCTGCATTTTTGGGACCCCAAATTCCCAGAACCTCAAACTCACCCTCTGTAAATCCTAAATTCACAGGACCCTACCTCTGCTCCTTGGGGATTCCTAAACACTGGAATCCTTATCTTTATCTTCAGATCTCCCTGCACTTAGGGACCTTCCTCCGCCCTGTTTTTGAAACCCTAGTCTCCTCTCACCTTATCCCTTCTTCAATCTTCCAGTTGGGACCCGTATTCATGACTTTTACCTCCAAAATCTTATCTCCTAGCCCACAACCCCAAAAGTGGGCAGGTGAACGGACCGGTACTTGAAGTCTAGACCCCTGTCCTTCTGGGCAAGGTGGCTTTCCCTGTTCTAGCCTCAATCTCCCCATTTCTAAAATAGGATCATCGTGGTACCTCACAAGGGTCCCTCTTGAGGGGTTCAACCAGCTATCTCCAGTCTAGCGTTTACCCACAGGAAGTGCTCCATAAAAGAAGCCCAAACTGTCATTCCTTCCCTGTGCCAGCCCCTCTGGGAATTGTCCCTTGTCTGCCTGGTCCCTGGAAGGACCACCACCCCAAAAATCTGGCCTTCCACTGTCTTCCATTCTTTCCTCTCCTTTCTCCTCCCAACCAGGGCACCTTCTCTCTCATCATCGAAACCTGGAGAGAGGAGTTAGAACAGATTGGAGGTGAGTGTCTTCAGTCATCAGACTACAGTGCACAGTGTGGGGAACTCCAGGGAGCTGGGGCCCCGTGTATGGTCCGGGAGAATGACATGGGACTGTCTGTAGGGTGGGGCATTCCCAGGATCAACATCCTGTGCTGTCCTCCCAGCTCCTGAGTGCGGGGGCTGGGTGGCGGTAGTCCCAGGGCTCTTGGCAGGTCGGTGTAGAATTGTCCTGGTCCTGGACGTGGGAGTCTCCAGGGGCTGATACCAGGCAGAGGGCACTCTTAGCATCTTGGAATCTCGAAGCCCCCAGAGCAGGAGGATACAGGATCGCACAGTAATGCACCGTCACTGTGGGATTTTGATAAACCCGGCTACAAGCTCAGTCATGGTGTCCCTACAGAGGTCCCAGGAGCCCTATTGGATGTCGCAGGTTGAGCAAAGGTTTCAGGGAGGGAGATGGGGGTGATTTTATTCTTAATTTGAGGGGATTTGGAGCCACGTAAGGCCCACAGTGTGTGTGTCTGGGGGGTTCTGTCAGCATCTATATATAGAAAGCTCCTGTGGCAATATGGGGGCGTTGTGACAGCTTTCTCGGGGAGAAAATGCCACTCTCTCTCTGTATCCCAAGGCTTCAGGCAATGAGGGCAATTTGCGATCTAGTAATTGGGGTATCTGTCACCATTTCGATCTAGGAAGATCCTGAGGCACAGTTTCGGGGTGTCATGACCTCAGTTCAAAAGACCCGTGTTGCCCCTTGGCCATATAGAGATATCAGATGTCACAGGATGTTAGAGGTCTCCTTACTGATACACAAAGATTCCTGGGCAAGATATGGGGCTGTTTCGGGTTCTTTGGGAGGACCGTTGTCATCGCGATGGTCCTAGGGTATTAATGGGATGGCGACGTCATTATGGGAGTTTGCAGCCTTGCTAAAGGGATAACTGCCATTCTCAGGGCTCGAAAAGGGGTGTTTTGGCCTCGCTAAGAGCGGCAGGGAGAGTGCAAGCTCCATCTGTCTCGCCAGAGTGAGTCCGCTTGCGGCCCGGCCCGCCCCAGCACCTCGCTCCCTTCTCCCCGCAGGGCCAGCCTGGAGCCTGCTGGCACGCGTGGCGGGTCGGCGCCGCCTGGCGGCCGGGGGTCCGTGGGCCCGGGACGTGCAGCGCGCAGGCGCCTGGGAGCTGCGCTTCTCCTACCGCGCGCGCTGCGATCCGCCAGCCGTCGGGGCCGCATGCGCGCGCCTCTGCCGCTCGCGCAGCGCCCCTTCGCGGTGCGGCTCGGGACTGCGCCCCTGCACGCCGGTCGAGGACGAGTGTGAGGCCACGCGTGAGTCCTGCGTTCCACCCCACCCCGTCCCCGGCACTTCCTTCCTTAGCTGCGCTCACGGCCCCAAGTTTCCTTTCACAAGCCGGTTACCCTCCTCAGGGAACCGGGGGCTCGAGAGCTCTGCCGTGGTGCCGCAGACACACCCCTCTCCAGGAAACTAGGGAATGTTGTTGACGGTTGGCCAAGTATCCCAGGCCCCGCTCCAGGCCGCCTCGCGGTCCTCAACCCCCTCCCGTGATCCAGCTACCACCCTCGGGGAAACTGAGGACCCTGGACTTCTCTCCAGTCCTGCCTGGGCACTCCAACCCCCTCCCCTCTCCCTAGCACTTTTTTCTTCCCGAATAGGAGCCCCACACCCATTTCCCATGTAGGCACTACCCACCCACTTCCTCCTCTAACACATGCGCACACCACTTTCCAGATGCTAGGACAATCAGCTCTTCCAGTGCTGGGGCCCTTCCTACCCCCACCCAGGAGCTTTGGAAACTCCTTGTAGTTTCCCACAACCCCGTCACTAAGGGATACTTTATGCTCCCTCCCCGCAGCTGCAGAGGCCAGATAATATCATTGCTTTCTAAAGCTTGGATCCCTGATCTCCATTGTGGGGACCCTCAGACTCCTCCCCTGACTTCTGAATCCCAGTGAAGCCCTTAGGACTCCCAGGCTTACCCAGATTCTCCCAGACCTGCCCTAATGGAAGACCCTCCCATTTTGGCTGAAAGACCAGGGGCCTCTCCCCAAGCCCCAGGGGCCCATTCTTCTCTCTCCAAGTTCAGACCCTGCAGGCCCCACTCCATTCTCCTTCTTTTCTTTCTTTTTCTTTTTTTGTTTTGAATTTTAAGATTTTATTTATTTATTTGACAGAGATCACAAATAGGCAGAGAGGCAGGCAGAGAGAGAGGAAGGGAAGCAGGCTCCCTGCTGAGCAGAGAGCCCAATGCAGGCCTTGATCCTAGGACCCTGGAATCATGACCTGAGCCGAAGTAAGAGGCTTTAACCCACTGAGCCACCGAGGCGCCCCCGCCTTTTTAAAAAGAGTTTATTTATTTATTTGACAGAGATCATAAATAGGCAGAGAGGCAGGCAGAGAGAGTGTTTTGTTTTGTTTTTTAAGATTTTATTTATTTATTTTTTGACAGAGGGAGACAGCTACAGAGGGAACACAAGCTGGGGTAGAGGGAGAGGGGAGAGCAGGCTTCCCGCCGAGCAGGGAGCCCCATGCAGGGCTCGATCCCAGGATGCTGGGATCATGACTCTAGCCGAACGACTAATGACTGAGCCACCCAGGCACCCCTCCATTCTCCTTCTAAGAGCACAGAGTCGGGAGCTCAATGGCCTGGGTTCACATCCTCCGTCTGCCACTTCCTATGTGCCTCTCGGGGCCTCAGTGTCCTTGTCTGGAAACTGGGGATCACCCGCTAGCCCAGAGGTTTGTCTGTCACGAGGATGAGAAGGTGGTGCACAGAAAGCCCTCAGAAACTTCTCTGATTCCTGCCCTCCTGACCCTGCCCTCATCAACGTTACTCTTTCCTCTGCCTCTCCTTCCCCCATAGCAGCGTGTCGCCAGGGTTGCAGTCCAGACCACGGCTTCTGCGAGCAGCCCAACGAATGTCGATGCCTGGAGGGCTGGACTGGGCCCCTCTGCACCATCCCGGTCTCCAGTAGCTGCCTCACTCCCAGGGGCCCGTCTCCTGCCACCCCTGGATGCCTCGTACCCAGGCCTGGGCCCTGTGACGGGAACCCGTGCTCCAACGGGGGCAGCTGTAGCGTCAGTATCAGCCCCTCCCTCATCATCCTCCGGGAGTTCCCAGCGCCCCCTGTCTGCGGCTCCTTGAGATCACAGCCTGGGGAGGGCTGAGGGTGGGGCGGGGAGCTGCAGGGGAGGGCCCCCGAAGACTGGGAGGTAGGACGGGACAAGGAGCAGCCCTCCTTGGTTAAGACAGGAGGGGGGATTGGGATTTTGCTCCCGAGAGACCCGTTCTGAAGTCCTCTTGCCGCTGCGCAGGAGACCCCGGGATCCTTCGAATGTGCCTGTCCCCGAGGGTTCTACGGACTGCGGTGTGAGGTGAGCGGGGTGACATGTGCGGATGGACCCTGCTTCAATGGCGGCTTGTGTGTGGGAGGCGCAGACCCTGACTCTGCCTACGTCTGCCACTGCCCGCCCGGGTTCCAAGGCTCCAACTGCGAGAAGAGAGTGGATCGCTGCAGCCTGAAGCCGTGCCGGAACGGTGAGGCGGGGAGGCCAGGCAGGGAGGGGCCCTGCGTGGTCAGTGGGCAGCGGCGGGGCTTGGCTCAGACAGCCCTGGGTGGGAATCTTGGCTGAGCTTTCTCTACCCCCTGGCCTGGGGACGTGAGCCTCCCCCACCCCCAATCTGTTTTATTTATTTTTTAAAAGATTTTATTTATTTATTTGAGAGGGAGCACGCACAAGCAGAGGCAGGGGGAGAGGCAGAGAGAGAGGGAGAAACAGATTCCCCACTGAGCAGAGAGCCCGATGTGAGACCCAGTTCCAGGACCCTGGGATCCTGACCTGAGCCAAAGGCAGTCGCCTAACTGAGCCACCCAGGCACTCCTGCCCAGCCTGCTTGTTCTGGGCAAGGTGGTATTCCCATACCAAAATATTTGAGTAAGGGGAGCCTGACTGGCTCGGTAGGTAGATCGTGAGACTCTTGATCTCGAAGCTGTACATTGAAGCCCCATGGTGGGTGTAGATATTACTTAAAAACACATATAATTGAGTATCTACAGTGTTCCAGGTCCTGTTCTAGGCACTAGGGTTACAGCAGGGAATGAAATAGACAAAAAACCCTGTCCTCAAAGAGCTGACAGAACAGACAATTAACAAATAAGTAAATTATATGGGAAGTTAGATGGTGATAAAAACGAAGAAGAAAACAGGCACTGGGTGGCTCAGTAGGTCGAGCACAGGACTCTTGGCTTCGGCTCAGATCACGATCTCAGGGTCATGAGACAGAGCCTGTGTGAAGCCTGTGCTGAGTGTGGGGTCTGCTTGTCCCTCTCCCTTTGCTCCTCCCCCTGCTCACACTCCCTCTCTCGAATAAATAAATACACAAGATATTAAAAAAAAAACCTAAGAAGAAAAATAAAGCCAGAGGGGGATGGGGAGTGTGTATGGGGTGGAGGGTTGACATTTTAGCAAAAGTGGTTAGGCAAAACCTTGCTGAGGGGTAGAGAAGGAGGGAGCCATGTGGGTTCTAGGGGGAAGAGTTATGTTCCAGGAAGCAGGAATAGCAAGTGCAAAGACCCTGAGGTCAGAATGTGCCTGACCTGTTGAGGATCACAGGGAAGCAGGTGTGGATCGAGCAGAGTGAGTGCAGGGAGAGTGGTGCGAGATGAGGTGAGGGAGGTGATCCAGACAGATCATGTAGGCCTTCCTGGGCCATGAGGAGGATTTTGGTTTTACCCTGAGGGAGATGGAGCCACAGGAATGAGCAGTGGAGAGATCTGATCTGATAACGGTGTCACAAAGTTACATAAGATTATGAATGTAAAGGGCTCAGTGCATTCTTTTTAGATTTTATTTGAGAGAGATAGACTACTAGAGAGAGAGCAAGCACGAGGGGGCAGAGGGAGAGGGAGAAGCAGGCTCTCCGTTGAGCAGGGAGCTCCATTTGGGGCTCTATCCCAGAACCTTGGGATCATGACCTGAGCTGAAGGCAGCCGCTTAACCGACTAAGCCACCCAGGCGCCCCGTGCATTCTCATAATACTAATTCTCTCCAAAACAGAGTGTTCACTCTGGGTTGAACACTAGGGACACAGCAGCGACTAGGACAGCTCTGCGCCACGCCCTCACGAGGGTACCATCTTGGGGTGGGGGAAGACACAGTTGTGCTTGGAGCCCGAAGTTGTCAGGGTTGTGATAGGGGAGCACAGGGTTGGAATGGAGAGTCAGGGAAGGCTTCCTGGAGGAGGGGACATCTGAGCAGATACCAGGGAGCTCGGGGAGAGATAAGGTGCAAAGAATGGGAGTAAAGGAGGAAGGGAAAAGATAAGGGGTATCCCAGGCAGAAGCCATGGGCAAAGGCCAGTTGGTTCAAACATGTTCTGGAACTGCTAACTATTGGAGTATGGCTGAAGCTGAGAGAAAAATGGTCATACAGAGCGCCGAAGAGGTGAGACTGACTCAAACCAAGACCACTGGGGAGGAAAGGAAGAAGGCCTGTTTTCCAGGCGAACTCCCAGAGGCTGGCCCTAGAGTTAGACGGAGACAGCGGGGACGCCGAGGAAAGGGCGGGCAGGATTGCAGAGCAGAGGAGCGGATGCGCGGACAAGCTCGGGGATCCCCGTCGAGGCCGCGCCCCTGACGCACCTGACATTCTTTCCCCACAGGCGGGCTCTGTCTGGACCTGGGCCACGCCCTGCGCTGCCGCTGCCGCGCGGGCTTCGCGGGGCCGCGCTGCGAGCACGACCTGGACGACTGCTCCGGCCGCGCCTGCGCCAACGGCGGCACGTGCCTAGAGGGCGGCGGCGCGCGCCGCTGCTCCTGCGCTCTGGGCTTCGGCGGCCGTGACTGCCGCGAACGCGCCGACCCGTGCGCCGCGCGCCCCTGTGCCCACGGCGGCCGTTGCTACGCCCACTTCTCTGGCCTCGTCTGCGCCTGCGCCCCCGGCTACATGGGTGCGCGCTGCGAATTCCCGGTTCACCCAGACGGCGCGGACGATGGCGCACGTGTATTGCCCGCGGCGCTGCCGGGCCTGAAACAGGGGGACCCGCAGCGCTTTCTTTTGCCTCCGGCTTTGGGACTGCTGATGGCCGCGGGCTTGGCCGGCGCGGCGCTCTTGCTGGTCCACGTGCGGCGCCGAGGCCCCGGCCAGGATACTGGGTCTCGCTTGTTGGCGGGGACCCCGGAGCCATTGGTGCACGCGCTCCCAGATGCACTCAACAACAGAAGAACGCAGGAGGGTTCGGAGGATGGGCCGAGGTGAGGGGCCCCAGGCGTCTGGCTTGTCTCCTGGCTGCTTTCGTCAATCTCCATAGTGCAATTGACCCGATTCCCTGATAGACCTTCCTGGTCGGTCCCTTCCTCTTACCTGCTCCCGGCCTTTTCTGATTGGGTCGTTGACAGCTCCCCTAGTGGGCTTTGGGGTCTCTCCATGGTGGGTGGGGAAAACAAGATCGGAGAATTAGAGGAATCTGATCTTCTTTTCCTCCCACAGCCAGCCAGCGGATTGGAATCACCCTGAAGATGGAGACTCTCGTGCGATTTACGTCATATCGGCTCCTTCCATTTATGCCCAGGAGGTAGCTACCACCCCTCTACCTGCTCCCCACACATTGGGCACGCTGGGCGGAGGCAGCCCCTGCATTTCCGGTAGCCCTCTTTTACTCTATCTGTAAAATGAGCATAGGGTCTCTGGGATGTCCTTAAGCCACCTTTCACTTACGGCTTTTATTAGTTCTGTATTGCAGCCCTCTTGCTGTCGTTCGGAGCTATTTGCCAGACCATACGGCCTTCAAGAGGTCGCGGTGGGGAGCCCCAGCAGAGCTTCCCTGTTTTCCACTCAATGGGGAGAGGGAGAGGAGGCGAGGGCAGCCCTGTCTAATGCCTCCTACTCTTTTCATTTCTAGGCCTGACCTGCCCCTTCTCCATCAGCGCCTGGAGACAGAACCTGGATATTTTTGTACTTAACTTGGTGGTGCCCAATCTCTGCCTGAGACACTTTGGAGCTGGACGGGGTGGGTGGGAGAATTTTACCTTTGGGAGTTGTATATAATGCTTATTTAAATCCTATTTTTTCCCTCCTCTCTAGAGACGTCTATAAAGGCTCTTATTTTGATCAGCTTTGACTCCTTGCCTAAGTGCTTTGTACTTAGTATTGGGACGGAGGGGAGAGCTACTATCTCCTGAGAGAAGTATCAGGACTCTCCCGGAGGGATCAGAAACAACTCAAAGTGGCTTAAATAAGGAGAGTTTATTCATAAAAATGAAACATCTTGTGGTAGGTGTAGCTTCAGCGGGGCTGGATTCAGGGACCCAGTGCCTTCAGTATCTTTTTACTCAGCTGTGTCTGGGAATGACTTCATTTGTAAACGGGGCTTTCATTGGCTCTGGCTTGTCACATGGCCTTGCCTGAGGGCGGGGCCCAGGCAGAATGGCTTATTCTGATTGGCCAATCTTGGCGATTTGTCTAGCGTGCGGTGGGAAGCAAGGTCAATCAGGCTGTCCAAAGCAAATGGAGGGTGTGGGTGAAGCAGTGTCCCTGCGTCTACCCCAAATCTGGGTTTGTTACTAGACGTCAGTACCCTATCGGACCGGGAAACCAACTGTTCCAGAAGAAAAACACAGTAAGTTTGAAGAGTTGTATAAGTGATTCATGAATTGGTGAGCATCTTGTCCGCGGAGTAGAGGGGAGCTCTGAGGAGGTGGCCAAAAAGGAAGGTTTTTATAGGAAGGGGAGTGGGGCAAGAAAGTTAGCAAAAGAAAAGAAAGCATTGTTCCAGGCAAGGGCACCTCCTAGTAGGGGAAGGGCAGGGAGTCATTGGGGAATTACCTCATTTTCCTTTTTGGGGTGGAGAGGGTCCATGTTACAGATTATTGGTGCTGATCAGAGAATTCCTGACTGGCCTGGTGAGACTTAATTTTCCCGCGAAGTTGGAACTGCAGTTAGGTTAGGTATTAAGCCCCAGTTTGGTGACTTAGCCTAAGTGATGCCATTTTGAGCCTGTAGGGTTTTTTTGTTTGTTTTTTGTTAAGATTTTATTTTATTTTTTTAAATAAGATTTTAAGTAATCTCTGCTTTGGGGCTCAAACTCACAACCCCGAGATCAAGAGTTGCACATTGCACCAACTGAGCCAGCAGGGTGCCACAAGCCTGTGCTTTCTTTTTAACCCCATGGAACCAGTCAATGAGAGTGGAAAGGATCCATTTTACAGAAGAGAAAGTTGAGGCTCAGAGAGTTTGAAGTAACTGCTGCAAAGATAGGGAGCGACTGGGGGGTTTGGGATGCAGTCGTCCTGCAGGATGCCTTCCTGCTAGAACGCTTGCTAAAGAGCTTGTAGGATTTTTGTGGACCTGGGTTGTGCTCCCCCCCCCTTTTTGTTTTTAAGATTTTATTTATTTGACAGACAGAGATCACAAGTAGGCAGAGAGGCAGAGAGAGGGGGGGGAAGCAGGCTCCCTGCTGAGCAGAGAGCCCGGTGTGGGACTCGATCCCATGACCTGAGCCAAAGGCAGAGGCTTAACCCACTGAGCCACCCAGGCACCCCTGCTTCTTTGTTTCTAAAAGCCAAAATGCAGCTGTGTTGGCCACCTGCAATATCCTGATGTTTTTATGGTCTTGCACAAAATAAAACATCAAAAGACTCATTTAGTATAACTTCCAAAGTAAAAAAATTCACATTCCCTTTAATCGGATGGTTTCTTATCTGGGAATTTACCCTACACATAGACTTTGGTGTCTGTAGGTGTCTGTAGTTGAGTAATTGTTGGTAATAGCCACAGGCTGTCAAGGATCTAAATGTCTGATGAGGGGCGCCTGGGTGGCTCAGTGGTTAAAGCCTCTGCCTTCGGCTCAGGTCATGATCTCAGGGTCCTGGGATCGAGTCCCGCATCGAGCCCTCTGCTCAGCAGGGAGCCTGCCTCCTCCTGTCGCTCTCTGCCTGCCTCTCTGCCTACTTGTGATCTGTCTGTCAAATTAAAAAAAAAAAAATCTTAAAAAAAAAAATAAATGTCTGATGAGGGAGGACTGGCTACATTGATTAGGGGCCATTTACAAGGGAACTATTACACCAGTGTTCAAATGAGATATAGATGTGCTCAACTGAAATCCTTGATAGATTTTTGTCCAAGGGAGGAAAATATAAGGTACAGAAGAACAGATAGGGTGCTACCGTTTGTGTTTTAAAAATGGACTGTATGGAGTTATTACTGCAGTGGTCTGACCAAATGAGGAGCTTGGTGGACCTCCCTGCTGGCAAACGGGTGCAAATTATAGAAACAAGGGATGCCTGGGTGGCTCAGTTGGTTAAGCGTCTGCCTTTAGCTTAGGTCATGATCTCAGGGTCCTGGGATTGAGTCCTGCATCAGGCTCCCTGCTCACTGAGGAACAAAATGACAGGGGCACCTGGGTGGCTCAATGAGCTAAGCCTCTGCTTTCGGCTCAGGCCATGATCCTGGGATTGAGCACTGCATTGGGCCCCCTGCTCAGTGGGGAGCCTGCTTCTACCTCTGCCTCTGCCTGCTGCTCCCCCTGCTTGTGTTCGCTCTTTGTCAAATAAATAAATAAAATTTTAAAACAAAAAACCAAAATGACAGACCATTTGAAGCTTCTGGGGATGATCTGGAGGGCACATAGCAAATTAATAAAAAAAATAAAAATAAAAACTAAAAAATTGGTGAAAACCAGGAGAATCAATAATAGGTGAACCAAGAACCCCCCTCCATTTTTAAAATTAAAAAAAATTAACATATAATGTATTATTTGCTTCAAGGGTAGAGGTCTGTGAATCATCAGGTTTACACACTTCACAGCACTCACCATATCACATACCCTCCCCAGTGTCCATAACCCAGCCATCCAATACCTCCCCCCACCAACCCCAGCAACCCTCAGTTTGTTTCCTGAGATTAAGAGTCTCTTATGGTTTGTCTCCCACACAATCCTATCTTGTTTCAATTTTACCCTCCCTATCCCCCACAGCCCCTGGTCCTGCCTCTCAAATTCCTCATATCTGAGAGATCATATGATAATTGTCTTTCTCTGATTGACGTATTTTGCTTAGCATGATACCCTCTAGCTCCCTCCACATCGATGCAAGACTTCGTTTCTTTTGATGGCTGCATAGTATTCCATTGTATATATACACCACGTCTTCTTTATCCATTCATCTGTTGATGGACATCTAGGTTCTTTCCATAGTTTGGCTGTTGTGGACATTGCTGCTATAAACATTCGGGTGCACGTGCCCCTTTGGATCCCTACATTTGTATATTTAGGGTAAAAACCCAGTAGTGCGATTGCTGGGTCGTGGGGTAGCTCTATTTCCAAGTTTTTGAGGAACCTCCATGCTGTTTTCCAGAGTGGCTGCACCAGCTTGCATTCCCACCAACAGTGTAGGAGGGTTCCCCTTTCTCTGCATTCTAGGCAACATCTGTTGTTTCCTAACTTGTTAATTTTAGCCATTCTGACTGGTGTGGGGTGGTACCTCGCTGTGGTTTTGATTCGTATTTCCCTGATGCCCAGTGATGTGGAGCACTTTTTCATGTGTCTGTTGGTCATCTGGTGTCTTCTTTGCCAAAATGTCTGTCCATGTGTTCTGCCCATTTCTTGATTGGATTATTTGTTCTTTGGGTGTTGAGTTTGGTAAGTTCTTTTTTTTTTTTTTTTAAGATTTTATTATTTATTTGACAGAGATCACAAGTAGGCAGAGAAGCAGGCAGAGAGAGAGGAGGAAGCAGGCTCCCTGCTGAGCAGAGAGCCCAACTCAGGGCTCTATCCCAGGACCCCAGGACCGCAACCCGAGCCGAAGGCAGAGGCCTCAACCCACTGAGCCACCCAGGCCCCCCGAGTTTGAAAAATTCTTTATAGATTTTGGATAGTAGCCCTTTATCTGATATGTTGTTTGCGAATATCTTCTCCCATTCTGTCAGTTTTCTTTTGGTTTTGTTGACTGTTTCCTTTGCTCTGCAAAAGCTTTTGATCTTGGGGCGCCTGGGTGGCTTAGAGGGTTAAGCCTCTGCCTTTGGTTCAGGTCATGATCTCAGGGTCCTGGGATGGAGCCCCGCATCAGGCTCTCTGCTCAGCGGGGAGCCTGCTTCCCCTGCCCCCTGCCTGCCTCTCTGGCTACTTGTGATCATGTCTCTCTCTCTCTGTGTCAAATAAATAAATAAAATTTTTTTTTAAAGATTTTATTTATTTATTTGACAGAGAGAGATCACAAGTAGACAGAGAGGCAGGCAGAGAGAGAGAGGGAAGCAGACTCCCTGCTGAGGAGGGAGCCCGATGCGGGGCTCGATCCCAGGACCCTGAGATCATGACCTGAGCCGAAGGCAGCGGCTTAACCCACTGAGCCACCCAGGCGCCCCAATAAATAAAATCTTAAAAAAAAAAAAAAAGCTTTTGATCTTGATGAAGTCCCAATAGTTCATTTTTGCCCTGGCTTCCCTTGCCTTTATCAATGTTTCCAGGAAGAAGTTGCTGTGGCTGAGGTCAAAGGGGTTGCTGCCTGTGTTCTCCTCAAGGATTTTGATGGAATCCTGTCTCACACTGAGGTCTTCCATCCATTTTGAGTCTACTTTTGTGGTGTAAGGAAATGGTCCGGTTACATTCTTCTGCATGTGGCTGTCCAATTTTCCCAACACCATTTGTTGAAGAGACTTTTTTCCTTTGGACATTCTTTCCT